GTCACATCTTTCAAAGCTGTCCCTTTGGCTAAACCAATATAGAATTGCCTTGCTAACCAAGCCACCTGCAGCTGTCGATGAAGTGTGAGCCCCATGACCTTCGGAGTCTCTCGGGGACTTGAACTCGTAATTCGGATCCAAATCTCCATCAGCTCGATAATATTTTGCTCCAATGATTTTGCTGAAAATAGATTCAAACATTGTTAAGGCCAACATTTTCAGGAGTTAATGAAATTTTTTCTAGTTCTGGATGATTATGATTTACTTGTAACAAGTGAAATTGGCTGAGCTTTGGCAGGTGCCTTTCTATTTAATCAGAAGCGAACTTATGTTGTATCTCATACCATGAGAAGAAAGGTGGCCTAGTGGTTGTGTCATTTGTTAGCCTCCCTCGAGTCCTGCGTCCAAACCTCACTATTGCGTCTTTATATTATATTTTAGGGATTCTATATAATAGATAAACATTTTTCTTCTAAATGAAATATTAAAAAACAAGTAATTATAACTGAATCCCTAAGAGATCAATCAAGAAATGGTTATTATAAATCGTCCATATACAAATCTAACACTCATTTTCCATTAGCTTCTTATTTTCCAATGGTGAATAAAGGCGAACTCCCGGTGTCCAAGAAAGAGGAAGAAGAAGCAAATTTCTTGAGTTCGCTTCCCGTTGGTTTCTGGTTTCGGCCAGATGATGAACAACTGCTAAAGTTCTATTTGAAGAGAAAGATTCAGAATAGAAGACTTCCGCTAAACATCTTCAGGGATGTTGAGCTGTATAATTATGATCCAGAAACACTCACAGGTTGCTTTCTTTTACCTGTTCATTGAGTTCTTGAGTCTATGTGTTCTATCAATGTCTGTTTAATATTGGTACGATGTTTAATATTCATTTTATCTCTTGGTCGACAGAGTTGAATAACAACGTCTCCTCAAATGAATATGAAGGGTTGTTGGAATGGTGTATTTCTTTACTCTGAGAGAGCATAGATATGAAAATGGAATGGTGTCGCAGCGAGGTGCGGGTTACGGATTCTGGAAGTCAATAGGAAAAGTAAAGGAGATTGTATCTAGAGGAGAAAAGTTGGAACAAAAATGACTTTCGTCTTTTACAGAGGGAAACCGCATCAATGTGTCGAAACGGAATGGGTGATGCAGGAATTTGTCTTGAGCAATGCACCAAGCAAGACGAAGATTAAATAAAGAAAACATGCAGGTAATCTTTTGAAAATACGAAAAAACTTTCTAAAGATAAGTGGTATCTGAAACTTGTTTTATTTTTATCTTTATTCCCAGCTCCACGATTGGGTACTGTGCAGGTTGTAGAAGAAGTTGAATAACGGACAAAGGCTACCTGGTGAAGGCACAATTGTAGGTCAGAGTGGTCGACTGCTGGAAAATGAGGTTACACGTTTTGTTCAACCTCAAGAGTTTGGAGTTGGACCAAAAGACACCCGATCGATACTCTACTTTGGTGCTTAATAATGGTACAATCTTGCTGGAAAATGGGATGCCACCGATAATGTCAGTCCAAGTAACCAGACGCACTCCCTACGGATCCAACAGCAGTAGAATTCTGTGGACTATACTGACAATGAGTAGGAAACTTTAGTAAGGGAATACCTAGATATTCGTCAAAGGCTGAAATTGTGTCTATTCCATTTGAGTATTCTTTTGAAACTCGATAATTCTTAAATAAGATTTTGAATTTCAGATTTAAGTATTGGACATGTTACATGTACCCTTTGGTAAGACAGGACGACTGTTCCTGAACAATGAGGTTCAATTGGGGCAGCCCAATGAACTGGTGTCATCATTTCAGCTTTGGAAGTGGTGAACTAGGTTTGAAATTTAGCTTTGATGTTGGTTGGAGTGTTCAAACAGTTAATTCGTTCATCGATCGAATCGAATTTCTATGAACTAAATTAATTAAACTTTTTTTCTTTAACCGCTAATCGAACCGAATTTTTTGAAATATTAACCAAACCGAAAAAAAGTTCGGTTATTTTGGTCAGTTAACAAAATTGACTGATTTTTTTTTAATAATTTTTTAAATTAGATTAATTTAAATATAATAGAAGTAATTTTTTATTTTGGTTAAAATTTTAATTAGGTATTGATAGTTTAATGGGTTTAGTGTGGTTAAAAAATAATTAGGTCTTAATTCTTAATGAATTTGTACTTTAAATATTTATTTAAAGTATATAATATATTTTATATTTAATAATTTCGGTTAATTAACCGATTTCGAACTGAATTAAACGTTAACCGAATATTAAAAAAAATGTTAAATGTTCCCCTACCGAACTAATTCGATGATCAACTGAATTAATCGAACTAATTCAGTTTGGTTTGTTAATTCGGTTAAAACCAAAAAATGAACACCCCTAGATGTTGGAAGACAATATAGCCAAAGATTCAAATAGCGGTCGTTATATAACTACAACAACAACGTCCGAAATTGTTATTATAGAAAGTAGTGGTGTGAAGCGAAATCACATCAATAATAATAGATCGTGGCTGCAATTTAACGGATAAAAATCAATTGCAATAATAACAGACCGGTATTGACTCGTTATTCTATTTTAAAAAATCAACTCTTTTTTAAAAAGTCAAACTCATTTTAAAATTTACAAGTGCCACAATAACCACAATAGTATTCGTTGTCAACCTCAATCATGATAGCAGCATTGTTTCGAGCTCTTGTTTATTGCTTTCAAATATTGGCCTTGAACTTCAAACTTCCAAACATTTGTTATGCTATTTTATCTTTTTTTTTTCTTTTTTATCTCATGGAATTTAAATGTTCAATTAGGTCCACCATTGACATTATTTCATTCATAGATTTTAAAATATATTTTTATAATTTTTTATCAATAACATAATAAGACCTAAAAATATTTTAATCATTGAATCCATTAAGTGAACTTAATAGTCAAATTAAATATTATTTTTCTTAAATAATTCGAGTTAAAGTAAATGTGTTTATAGGGTGTATATATGTTGTCAATCAGTTGTGGATCTATAAATTGTTTTAAGGTGAAAACACATGCATTAATAACATTAAAATTTTGTATAGGGTATACAAAAATAAAATTTTAAAGTAGGCATAATCAATAAAAATAGATAACTAATTGGTGAAAAACTCGAACTTTAAGATAGGCACGAGACTAAAGGTGGAGCTGACACTATTTTCAATAAATTAAGAAAAAAATTCAACATATACTAAAATATATTTTTGATAACTAGAAATCATAACGTGACAAATTTATTGAGATGGAGTGTAATAAATTATACACTTTTACATGATTTATAGTACATTATTAAAATTAAATTTATAATAATATATAATATTGTAATGTAAATATTTAAAATATATTAAAATTTTGTGTTTAATATTTTAATAGGATAAGAAATACGTGTAAAAATATTATATATTAAATTTAATATAACCTAATTACTTTTAAAATTATAAAAAGAAAAATATAAGTGGACGATTGGGTCAGCTCTAGATGCCGCAGCTGATTTTCGTACCGTTGAAGAACAGTATAGAATGCGGTCGGGTAACAAAAAAAAACAACAACAACATTGTTTCCCTCGAGGAGTCCGCGTGGAAGTACCTGATTGGAGAAAAGTTGACCAACCTTGAAATCCAACGTTAACCCAAAGCAGCTGTCTCTCGCACGTTGTAAAAAATGAATCCAACTTGAAAGCATATTCGTTGACGAATATCCTACAGCTGTAATCATCACCTACCACCGTTACCATCATAATACATCATGAAATCCTTTTTTTTCATTGATTAGATTATAGTATTGATTTTATGTTTTGTTTTTAAATAAATATTTTTTAATTGTCTTATTTGGAAATTATATAAAAATATGTAAAGATAACAATAGTATTATAATTATATTAAATATTACTTGATGAAAGATTACTTTAGTAAACTGAAAGGTATTTTAATATTAAATAAGGCATAGTATCAAAATTAGTACCCAATATTTACCAAAATGTTTATTTTGATTTTTTTCATGAAGTATTTTAACCATCAACATTTTATTTTATGATAAAAAATTTTTAATATTTGACACAATAATCACTTTGGCCCTTATTCTTTTTTAGAGTATTTTGATCTTCAATGTTGTTATCTTAGGATAAAAAGACTCCTATTTTAGATCGTTGATCATGTGTTAACTGAAAAATTTTCATCCATAGAAGAGATTTTCTGTCCCAAAATGAAATGTTGGTGGTTAAAATACTACAAAAGAATAGGGACCAAAATGACCATTTTGATAAACAATGAGGACTACTTTTGGTAGTATGCCATTAAATAACATAATAAAAATCACTTATTTAAAATTCAAGTACAAATTTATTATAATTTAAGCAGAAATTATTTATCACTCAATTTATGAAAATTTTAACTAAATTAAAAATATATTATTTCATCCTAAAATGAGTCTGATAAAATCTAATTAATAATTAAGTACGATACCATTTTTTAATTACATCATTTATTTATATGTAAAGGTACACAAAATTGGTCTTATTATTAATTTTTAAAGAACACAGTTTATTGTTAATTTTTATGTATTAAACATTATTAAATGGGTTATTGTTTCAATAGAAATGAAAAACATAATATTTTTAAATCTTAAATTTTACATAATGAATTTTAAATTTTAAATATAAATATAAATCTTAAATCATGAAATTTTAAAATTTTAAGATCTTAGATATTAATATTATTATTTATCTAAGAAAAAACTTTATTATAAGTGTATGAGATAATAATTTATATTAAATATATTTTATTTTTGGAAAAATGTAAATAATGTAGATTTTAATGGAAAAAAGAAATTTTGACTTGATAAGAAAGTCAAATAGATCAACAGTTGTAAACAACGAAGGAGGTCGGTCTGGAGAGTCCGATGACAACTGATCCAACATTAAAACGACATCGTTCCACTCGACCATCACAGAACAGAATGAAACAAAGATTGAAACTTTTGTAAGAAGCATAAGAAGAAAAAAAGGCAAAGAAAAGAAAAATCTTAAAGATTCAAGCTTTGATATTTGTTCCTAATAAACTTTTAATCTCAAGTTAAGCTTGGTATCTGTTTCGGGTTTACATTCAGATATGCAAACAGAAGCAAGAGTTGGTGTAGTAAATCCAAGCCCTGGAGGAGGAAGAAGAGGAAACAATGGGGTTGAAACGACAAGCTTGAAACTTAAGCAGCAACAGCAAGAGTTATTACAAGCACAAAAACCCCAGATCGGTACTGTCTCTCAGTTGCTTGCTGGTGGGGTTGCTGGTGCTTTAAGCAAGACTTGCACCGCCCCTCTTGCTCGTCTTACCATTCTCTTTCAGGTTTTTTTTTTTTAGTTCATCTTTCTTAACACAGTTTGGGTGTCTTGAGTTGGTTTTGGGGTTAATTTTATTCTTGTTTTGATTTGTTTATTGGAGGAAAAAATGTGGGTTTGATGACATGTTTTGTTAGTATTATGGTGAAATTTGAATTAAAGGTTATAATTATGTGTAGAAACGGATGTATAATTTTATGTCAGTGGAACTTATAAAATTTGATGGACGAAAATATATTATTGATAGAAAATAGTTAAATTATAGGAGAATTTAAAATTTATAGGACTTCTGCCCTGGCAGCCCCCTCAGTCCATTCCTGATCATGTGAGATATTAATTTATGTTTTCTCAATCAATGGATGTGTATAGTGTAGCAGAAGTTATGTATTTGTAATTCATTGCTCAAATGGCGAAAGATTTTCTTAGTATTATGGTTAATTTTGAATTAAAGATGATAATTACTTACCAGGACGGATGTAAAATTTTATGTCATGGTGAACTTATAAAATTTTAAGGGTCAAAAATAGATTGTCAATGGAAAATGTAAAGATATACTTAAATTATACTAGAATTTGAAATTTTCGGGGGCAACTGCCCAGTGGCCCTGTCAGTCCATCCCTGATTATGTGAGATATTGGTTTATGTTTTTTCAATCAATGGGAGTGTATAGGGCAGCAGAAGTTATGTATTTGTAATTCATTGCTCAAATTTTATAGAGGAGTGTTTATGAACTCTGGAGACTAGTGCTGTCGAGGATTGAGAACATTGTCTACACCTTGTGTGTTTGAACCAATAGTATGAGATCGAAAATTACATATTATTAGTTGAGGTGAACCATGTGATGTGATATGGTAATGTCTATGCAATGAGCCTTCCATGCATGGATCCCACTAAAAATGTCGATATTCTCGATCCTCTATCTGTTGAGCCCTTGCTTTTGTTTCAGAACAAAATTAATTTTGTTCAATCTGTGTGGCTTGTGCTTGATATTATAATTCGTTCACCTTCTTGTTTTCATCTTTTTGTTGTTTAATTATGGCTTCATTAGTTTGCTTATTCTTTTGGTTCTCTCTTGTGTCTTGAAATGGTGTTCTCTCCTGAGTTGGCAACCACTGTGATAACCTTGTTTTTTGTTACCTTATAGGTGCAAGGTATGCACTCCGATGCTGCCACGATAAGAAAAGCTAGTATATGGCGTGAAGCATCACGCATTGTTGGTGAAGAAGGTTTTCGAGCCTTCTGGAAAGGAAATCTAGTTACAATCGCACATCGTCTACCATATTCTTCATTAAATTTCTATGCCTATGAGCAGTATAAGAAGGTTGGTACTGAAATTCTAGACATCATGCCTTTTACAGGACATTACCATCTGTATTTTATTAAATTTGCTTCTATCTGGATAAGATTTGATACTCTTTGACCTTCTCTAATTATTTTTGCATTTTTGTTCTAACATATTGATATTTATTCTCTGCTTCAGTTACTATATATGTTTCCAGGGCTGGAAAGTCATGGTAAAAGTATGAGTTCCGACCTTTGCATACATTTCGTAGGCGGTGGTTTGGCAGGAATTACTGCTGCATCTGCTACATATCCACTGGATCTTGTTAGAACACGTCTTGCAGCTCAGGTTAGATCATATGCCCTTTGCAAAATATTTTTCATGGCTTTAAGTACATAATTAGTTTGTAGACTTTATTGCTTTAAGTAGTTAAATGGTTTCTTTCATATTCACTTTTTTTGCTAACTGCTAGTATACACAACCGAGACACATGCATAGGTTCGTAGTTTACTGGTTCGTCTTTTGAGTTTTGTATTTAACCATCTATACTTTTCTTCTATATATACAGACGAATGTTACATACTACAGAGGCATTTGGCATGCTTTGCGAACTATTTGCAAAGATGAAGGGGGTTTGGGCCTTTACAAGGGACTCGGAACGACTCTTTTAGGTGTTGGACCCAGCATAGCGATTAGCTTTTCAGTATACGAGAGCTTGAGGTCTTTTTGGCAGGCACGCAGGTAATTAATCGTCTTGAACAATAAATTGTGTTTCCGGATGATCATTATTTCATAAAGCATACTTTCCTGAGCCAAATTAACTTTCTATTAGGCCACATGATTCAACTGTTCTGGTCAGTCTATCTTGTGGCAGTCTTTCCGGGATTGCATCATCGACAGGTGAGTGATCTTTTTACGAGCTCTGTTGGAAAACTTGATTGCATTTTTCAGAATTCTGGGTTTTATTTTTCTTCCCTTTACTGCATTGTTCTATTTTTCCTGAATAGCAGTAACACAGATATTCCCGTATTATGTTGCACAACATCTCTGTCTTAATACTTAAAACAATTGACTAAATTATTGGTCTAAGTGTGCCTAAAGATTCAGCTACTCTATGGTCGTTAATTAACAATATTCTTCTGGCAAATGGTTGAAATACTCGCATTTATTTGATCTAAAAGTGTCATTATCCAACTATAGAGGTTAATACTTTTAGCTTTTTACCATGCTTTTGATGCAGAGAAGCAGGTTGTGGTGCAAGCTCTGCATTAAAACCAGATTGAAACCTAGAGCCGAGATCACTCTCTCTTACTTTTATGATTGAATGTTCAATTATCGGGTTCTTAAACCATTGAAAATTTATTTCTCTTAAGCTAAAAAGATATGTTAAATCAATGACTTATTGCTGCAAAGTTCAGTCTTGGAATCCTATAGCAGCTAAACCATCAATTGCTTTCTCCCGGAATGGCCACCCACACGACATGACTTTTCTTGAAGAGTGCAGTATCGATTCAACATCATTACCGGGTATTGGTGATGTCGTTTGAGTTAAGGTTTTCTTGGTTGGCAGGGAAGTCTTTGTTTGAAAGCTTTTTTCAATGTTTAAATGACAAATATGTGAATAGCATGTTGTTTGTTTATCTATTTTTTGTGTGCAAGTACTTTGAAACTACTTTCCATAGCCGATTATCTCCAAAATTTGGGTTCTTCATGAACTTGACTCGTTCGGTAACATTATTTAACTGGTTCGTGTTTGTTGAGTACAACCGCTTTGTGATATTTTCTTCTACGAATTGCCTTAAAATGTGTGGGACAAACCAATGTGTGGCTCTTACCATTTGTGTTCTGTATAAATGCAGCAATATTTCCATTGGATCTCATTAGGCGTCGCAAACAACTGGAGGGAGCTGGTGGACGAGCCCGTGTTTACACAACAGGGCTTTTCGGCACATTTAAGCACATATTCAGAACCGAAGGCTTTCGTGGTTTATATAGAGGGATATTGCCCGAATATTACAAAGTGGTGCCTGGTGTTGGTATATGTTTCATGACTTACGAAACGTTGAAGATGGTTTTGGCGGATGTTAGCACAAAATTATAGTCCGTGGCAGCTGTTTGATCCACGGTCTGAATCGACTGGTTGGCGAAATTGGTTTATGTGATGGCACAAGCATCATTTAACCCCCATAGCACTTCTTGCAGTGGCAAGTTTTGTTATGCTACTGCTTAGAAATATATTTTTCCATGTAAACAGATAGATATTGTGACTTACATTTCAAGTGTAATCTAAGATGTCGTCGGCATACTTAAGGATTTGATATCGATGGCGGTCGTCTTTGAAAACCCTCTTCCCGGTTCGAGTTTTTACCTGATTGCAGGAAGGCATGTATCATTACATTTTATAACTTCAAATTTTAGTGATATTTCACCTTAAGGAAGAGACTTGCTTGTTTCATGAGTCTTTGGATTACATCTGCTGTAATTTTATCTGCCATTTGATCATTCTGTTTTTTACCATGAAAGTTACAGCAAGGTCAAATATATATATGTGTGTGTGTGTGTGTGTGAAACATATCTAATTACAAAACAATAAAGGCTAAAAACAAGTTGTTTTGAACCTGAAACATCATCTTTAACATGTATAGTCATGGAACCCTATGAAAATTTTGGGGAGAAGCTATTTCAATCTTCTGCCATGACTTCCAATACTCTTGACAAACTGAATCATCCATCGGCGTGGTTTTCACAATGGGAAGTTTCCGGTCAGGTGAATGTGGTCTAAGGTTCGACGTAAACCATATTTGTTGACGGCTGCGTTGGCAGCTCGAAACCCTCCACCATAGACAGGTGAAGCATCATGAGCAATCTGGTGAATGAAGAACTCACCAAGCTTGTTTTCGACATTTGATTTCCCTCCTTTCTTAGACGACGAAGAAGATGAAGAAGCTGCTGATGTAGATGCCCGGCTGCTCGAACTCGGCAATACTTCGGATTCGAGCCACATGTATGATAAAACTTGACAGATACCTTCCTCGACTTCGGGATTCAGATTTCGATATCCTGGAGTATATGTTGATGTAGAAAACAACATAAAAATGGAAGGAGTACTGAAAAAACTTGAGAAAGGAATGAGGATTGAATGCTTGCATTCTACCTTTGAGGCGTAACCAGCCACGCATCAACTCGTGGGTGAGAATCACCCCGGTTAGCAGCCTGCATATTCCGGTAAATATTACTGTCTAAACTTCGACAAGAGATAAACTAAATCGGAAAGAACATAAAGAAGAAATTCGATGGGATTTTACCTTGGAAGACCATAAAGAACCAAGATGGCAGTGACTTCACATTTCCTGGTCAGCTTCTGAGGCTGAGTTCTCATTCCGTTAAGATGTCGGCCTCCGATTCGCGGTCTCTTTAGTATTTGTAACAAAGCAAACAAAGACATCGTCGGACTTATGCCATCAACAAAGCAAACCAGTGGAATCAGTTTGGTCGACATACACTTGTAACTGTCTGCTCTTCAGACAGATATAAACCCCTTGTCTCAGGCATATGATGATAACCCTGGAAAGAACCAAATCCGAAACATCAGAGCCATTCCGTTAAACAAAAAAGGTGTAAAAAGAATTGAGCAAGGGTTCATAATTTTACATTCTTTTCTCCAACAATAGCTTCGTTAAGTGCTTGTCTTTCGACGAGAAGCATCGGAATTTGCTGGTCTAGTTTCATGTCCTTCATAATAGTCCCTAATGGCATGGTAAAGAGGCTGGCAATCACCAGTGTCCATGATTGCAGATTCCATGCATTCCAAGCACAAACTCCGGCCATCTTCAAGCAAATAATATCTTACGTTCCAAGACTTCATGAGACAAAATTGTTAAGAAAATCGGGGTTCCGAGGAGAAAACAAAACGATAACCGACAACAGCTATTGTTAGCAGAAAGTTTGAAACTTTAGCACACATAAAAAGAAACAGTTCCTAGAATCCATACCTCCAAACGCTCACAGCTACAGCAGCGAGCTGTATTGTCATGTTCATGTGATGGACAATATTTTTGGGGCCAAAATGGATGGCATCGATACTCGATTAGACCGAATGCATTCGTCGGAATCTGAGATTCGATGTAACCAAAAATAAGAATTTGATTCATAGAACTAATACGTCAAATGATATATTCCAGGAAGATTCTTACAAATTGAAAACAAACATCACATTTGGGATGCGTCAGTTCTTTGAAGCAAGTTTTGTGATATGGATCCCTCCCAGACAAAGAAAACTTGAATCACCACAAACAAAACACAAGTTCAGAACCATATGAAGAGCTATACAATATTTGTAACACCGAAGAAAAAAAGAAACGAATCGAACTACCTCGTGCTCGGTAATCGGATACCCGCAAGAACGGCAACGGAAGCAATTGGGATGAAAAAATGATCCCATGCATCCCAAGTAATTGCCGCATCCGATTTCACGGTGACAGCCAGCACATACTCTGCAAGTCATAGGCATCAACATATATGTCAACATGGAAGGTACCAAGCAATGGTTTCGGTATTTCAGCACTGCCCTTGCATGCACTTACATTCACGGCAAGTACTCGAAGAGGACAATATCGAATCCGAAAACGTCGTCCCGGAATCTGGTCATTCCATAGTCTCACATTGATTTACAACTATGATAAAAGCTATTTTACCTATATCCAGCAGGATGATACTGCAAAGTGCCACAAGGAGGATACTTAGATGGATTCAAGCCGCCATTATCAGCTCCCCTCAGTAAAGCTCCACCGTAATTATTGTCTCTCCGACATTCATTGTAACCTAAAAACACATAAAACCGAATCGGTATACGGAGATCTCGAGATTAAGAGAGAAAGAATCGAAGATTGATGAAGGTCATGTAGGATCAAATCATCAAACAAGTCATTCTAAAACTTACCATTAGGTTTTCCCATACCCTCGGATAAAGAAAGCGCGATTGCATGATCTAATTCCTCTTGTTCCTTCTTCTTCCGAGGACGATCATCCTATTGACATAAACATAAACTCGATCTCAATCAAAATATTTTTTTTTTCAAATAAAAGTTAGGGATTCAAATAGCAGTCCGCTATAGGAATATCAGCCGTTATATAACGGTAAAAGTATCTTCCGAAACCGTTATTGCACAATTACCGTAACTGCGATAAACATGTCACAACTGAAAACACAATCGCAACGGCAATTTAATTCAGTACACAAAAAACAATATAGGGTCGTATAAGTTACCTGCATCCTAACCGGTGGTCGAACAACCATGTTTTCTTCCCCTGCAAACTGAGGGTTATATGATCCGCCACGACGACCGCCGGAACCGGACTTGAAAAGCTTATTCAGCCACTTCAAAAGCCTCGATTTTCTCTCCGGGTACGAATCATTAAAGTCCCCTGTTTTTCCCATTGAAAAAAAAACTTCAATATACAATCAAAAGGTATATTATACTACCAAATGGAACCTACTCTAAAACAAACGAGAAGAAAACAAAGGGTGTATCAAAGAACTCGAGAAACTAAAAGCAATCCATACAAGGATGAGAGAGGTGGTTGACGTCGGATGGAGGAGGAGGAGGAGCCATGGGGTGTAGAATTTAAGAAGCGGCGGCCGGAATATGTGAAGGAAAGCGAGGGGGAGAGAGGGAAGAAGAAGGGTGGGAGAGAAAGCGAGGGGAGACGAAAGAAGCATTGTTAAAAGAAAGAGATTCTTGGCTTGAGAAAGTGGAAGGAATATTTTTCAGTGAACTTTCTTTTCTTGGTTGCAGAGATCAGGTGCAATGCTTTCGTTTTATTTGAAAGGATTTTTTTTTTTGCCGGGAAAAAGGTGGAGTTGACGGAAAATGACCCTCTAATTCTTATAATTTACATTATTGCCATCATTTTTGGGATGATGTAATTACGTGTGTATTCAATCGAATTAAATGGAGCGAAAAAATTTTGAGTTATTTGAGTTTATGAGTATCATTTTATCATTCAAACTTTATTAAAAGATTTTAAGATAAGTTTATAAAACTTTATTCAAGTTTTTATTCGAATTAAGTATATCATTTTATTTATTAACTTAGAGCTTTTAACAAACTGCTCTAAAAATTGTTGACAGCTTTAATTTATAATGTCATGATATTATTATTTTAATTTAAATAAATCCTCTAACTATATATATATATTATTTTTTGTATGCAATAATATTATTTAATAAATAAATTAGCATCTGAAATTATATAATATATTTATATTAATTTTTGAAAGAATGGATTTTAAGGACAAAATATTAATGTGACTACAGAGGATTAAAATAATTGGTGGGAAGAAAGCAGTTTCAAAAAGAGTTGCAATCAAAGGGTCAAACTTAATAAAATATAAAGTTGAGGAGCTAAAGTGAAAAAATAAATACTATTGTCAAAACAACAAATTGAAGTTATATAGATATTATGAAATGGTAGAGGAGCATATGGTCTAATTTTGTTAAAGTGTGAACCTAAAACGGAGAAGGAGTTGAAAAAACAATAAAATAATGTAAATTTGAGGGATTAAATTGCAAAAAAAAAAAGGATTTTTTTGGCTAAAAGGAGGAATTGAATGAATTAAGGTATTCTACTGTGGTTCAAATTTGTTAAGTATAGACTTAAAATTTATGAGGAATTGAAGAAAAAAAATTAGGAACCAAATTGTTAAAAAACAAATTATTTAGTTATAGATCAAGACTATGTCATTTTAATTTTTGATTTTTCATTTATTCAAGCTTTTAAAATACAAACTTGACTTGAGCTCGAAATCTAAATTAAAAATTCGAGTTGACTCGAATAAATTGAAAATTGTGGGAAGAAAGTTTTTCAAGTCGAATCAAATTTTGTTGACCCCTGTATAAAATGTTGGCAAAATAAAGTTTTTGGTCCCTAAACTTTATAACAAGCCATGTCATCAAAAGGTTGTTGAAATAACGGTGGAGTGACTAAAATTTTTTCAATAATCGAATTACTTTTTTAAAATTTCAATGACCAAAATAAGAATGAGGGTAAAGTTGAGTAGTGAAATTTGTAAGTTAACCAATAATTAAAGGTTTAAAATTAATTAATCACAACAAAACAATTGAAAAAAAAAATATTTAATTGGTTTCTACCTGTTCAATTCAGTTGAATCATTTTTTATGGATTCATTTAGAATTAAGTTATTATTTTAAATACATATAAAATTATCAAAAATCATATAAAAGATATTTAAAATTTTATTAAAAAAAATTAAAAGTATCAAAATTTATAAAAATCATGAGGAGAAATGCAGCGGAAGAGATTGAGGTTAATAATTTTTTAATATTTTTTCTATTTTTAGATGACTTGCATAGATTTAAATTAGCAAATTAGC